AGACCTTCCGCGCAGCCCTTAAAATCTGGCTATCCCGTCAGGCCTGGGGCCAAAGATTGTAATCCATCCCCTCCCGAATGGTATGAATGTTGTGTTCTTTTTAATTATGTATTGTGCTTATGTGTCATTGTTTGTATCCCCTTTCCCTATGAGTTGTAAGCTGCCCTGAGTCCCCCCAGGGAAAAGGGCGGCCTATAAATAAACTTTCCAATTCCAATTCCAAATCTGCCTCTGCCCACCAGCAATTTTCCTCCTTGCAGCAAACAGCAAACAGTACAGAAGATATACACTGTTTGTGGTGTTTCAGACTATACTTGTACAGATGCCGTTAAAATTGATGTGGCTTTCTGGAAATATACCTTATTCTCTGCTATTTAAAAGGGGATACAATAGCACCGGGCCTCTTCAGATCAATCATTTATTTTAAAAAAAGCTTCCTCATTTTGTTAAGCCATCTAGAATAATAATAATAATAAATCAGACTTTAAAAAATAAGTCTAATAATTTCAACATTCTATAGGCATTTATAGTTATTGACTTGCCTCCTTGCAGCAAACAGCAAACAGCCTGTTTCAGTTTAGCCTGATTAGAAGAAAAAAATATCTGCTTCTGCCTCCCAGCAATTTGCCTCCTTGCAGCAAACAGCAAGTTTCACTTTCAAATTCAGCAGGGGCCTCCCAATGATCAGCTGTTTCAGGCTGCCGGGATTGCCATAGCCTATTGCGGCCTACGCAAGCCCCATTTTCCCATTTGCTGCAAGGAGGTAAATTGCTGGGAGGCAGAAGCCAAAGGGTGGGGGCCGGTGGGTGGGCTAGACTGCATTCGGTGTATAAGACACCCAAATTTTCACCCTCTTTTAGGGTGGAAAAGGTGCATCTATACACCCTGAAAAATACAGTATTTCTCTTATCTGCCTGTTGTCTCAATTACAGCTTTTCCTCCCGTCCCTCAAGGCCATTCCTTCTTCCCATTATATCTCTCAGGGATGGTGCAGTGAACTCTGCAGCACGCATGGGGTTAGACTAGATGACCTCTTAAGCCATGATTCTATCTTCTTCCCTTATCCACCAGGGTGGGCTGTCTTGTGGCTTGGCTTCCAAGCCAGTCCAGGTCCTCTACGGACACGAAGATGAAGTCACGTGTGTTGGCATTAGCACAGAGCTGGACATGGCAGTGTCAGGGTCCAAGGTAAGGACTTTGCATTCTTCCTGTCACCTGTTTGCGAGCCCTGATCAAAGTATTGCTTGGCAGGTGACCCAGGAAGTCAGAAATTCCTGGTTCAGGTGTTTGGCATCAGTTTCGAGGGCAAGTGATTCGTTTTTGTGACATGATTGTTGCAGTTTAATTGAGTTTTCTTTAACAAGATTTGTTGAGATGAAAATTTTCTTTTGCGAGATTTATTGAGGTAAAAGGGATGGGGGCTGCAGAAGTTCCAGCAATTGAACTGTTTCTTACTTTAAAACACATCCATCAGGATAGGAGTATTCTGGTAGCCATTTGCCTCCAGCTTCAGCAGGGGGGGTGGACTAGAAGACCTCCAAGGTCCCTTCCAATTCTGTTATTCTATGTTCTTTCAAACATCTTACACAGAAGATCATATTTTCATTAATTTTGGAGAAACGTAACAAAACTATTTACCCAACAGTCTTCTGCCTCTTTGCAGGTAGTCCTTGCTTTACGACCAGTCCCTTAGCAACTGCTCAAAGTTATGACGGACTTGCTTAGAAGCTACTTACAACCTGGATACAACCCAGTTTTCACTAAAACAACACCCATAGCGAACAATACATTTGCACTTATTACTGCCATGTTCATGTAAAGACCAGGCATTTGCACTTAATTTGCACAGTGATTCGCTTAACGACTGCTGCAAACAGTGTTGTAAAGTCAGGATGGTCGTATGATTGTCCCGTTTTATGACCAATATCTAAAAAAAAATTTCCACTCTTGCTGCACTCCTTTCCCTGACCATCCTGTGGGCGTTCTCGCGGGGCAAAACCCTAATTTGGAACACGTTTTCTTCCTTCCCGCCTCTGTCAGGATGGAACCATCCTTGTTCACACCATCCGCCGAGGGCAGTTCATGAAGTCGTTGAAGCCCCCGTGCGAGAGTTCCCTGCCGGTCACCATCTCCAACCTGGTTGTGGGTCACGAGGGGCAGATCGTGGTCCAGACGATCGTGGGGGGAAGAGCCTCCCTCAAGGTACAACCGTGGTCCAGACGATCGTGGGGGGAGGAAGGAGGGAGGGAGGGAGGCGGGAATCGGTGGAGGAGAATATTTGTAGCTCAGGGTTGAACAATGAGCTTTTCTTGCAGACGTTTCATGACCCAACTAGGGAACATCATCAGTGCTAGAAGAGAGGGGCAGTTCCCTTTAAGGAGTTTGATTGAGTTTTCTTTAACAAGATTTATTAAAGGAGGAACAGGAAGAAGAAAAGGACTGTAGGGTCCTTGGTGCTTTCTGAGCTTGGTGGTTTCCTTGCAGATGTTTCATGACCTAACTAGGGAACGTCATCAGTGCTAGAAGGAAGGAAGGAGGGAAGGAAAGAAAGAAGGAAAAGAAGGAAAGGAGGAAGGAGAGAAAAAAGGAGGGACTGTGGGGCCCTTGATGCTCTCTGAGCTTGGTGGTTTCCTTGAAGACGTTTCATGACCTAACTAGGGAACATCATCAGTGCTGGAAGGAAGGAAGGAAGGAAGGAAGGAAGGAAAGAAGGAAAGAAGGAAAGAAGGAAAGAAGGAAAGAAGGAAAAGGAAAGGAGGAAAGGGGGAGGGAGAGAAAAAAGGAAGGACTGTGGGGTCTTTGGTGTGCTTAGAACTAGGTGATTTCCTTGAAGACGTTTCATGACCCAACTAGGGAACGGCATCAGTGCTAGAATGAAGGAAGGAAAGAAGGAAAAGGAAAAACAGAAAGAAGGAGGAAAGGGGGAGGGGGAGGGAAGGGAGGAAGGAAAGAAGAAATAAAGAAGGGAGGGAGAGAGGACAGACTGTAGGGGTCCTTGTTGCTCTCTGAGCTGGGTGGTTTCCTTGAAAACGTTCCATGATCCAATTAGGGAACATCATCAGTGCTAGAAGGAAAGATGGAAAGAATGAGGGAGGGAGGGAAGGAAGAAAAGAAGGAAAGAGGGAGGGAAGGAAGGAAGGAAGGTGGGGTCTTTGGTCTCTCAGAACTTGATGGTTTCCTTGCAGGAGTTTCACGACCCAACTAGGGAACAGCGTCAGTGCTAGAAAAGGGTGGAGTTTGCAAAGAAGAGGAGGGTTGGAATCCTTGTGCTCTCTGAGTTGGTTTTCTTGTAGACATTTCATGACCCAGCTAGGTAACACCATCAATGCTGCAAGGGAGCGAGGATTGTGTGGCGATGGGGAAGAGGAGGACTGTGGAATACTCTTGGTGCTCTCTGAGCTTTGCGGAGTTTGTAGGAAGGCGCAAGAAGGGAGGAGGGGGGAGGAAAAAAACGGTCCTACCTCACTTTTTCCAGTACCCGCCGTTAACTCGGAACTTCACTAGATGAATGGTTATAAGTTGAGGACTATCTCTACTTTGTACCGGCCTGCTCAGCTAACCCCCAGCTTCTCCTTCATTAAAGGACAAGTTCGCCCTCCACCTTTACTCCGTCAACGGCAAGCACCTGTCTTCCGTCTCCTTGGATGAGCAGGTTACCTCGATGTGCGTCATGGAGGAATTTGTCGTGTTGGGAACGCTCCAGTGTTCGTTGCAGATCAGGGACCTTCAGAGGTAAACCTTCTTCTCCTTTCTTAGTTTCTCTCTTTTTTTGACACACGGCTACCCTATTCCCTCGGTGGGACGTGGTATCTATACTTAGATTGTCAGCCCTCTTTTCTTTGGCCTGCCACACTTTCTATTCTTCCTCTATGCATCTTTCTATTGCGGGAAAATGGGATTGTGTGGGATTAGATGCTATGTAGCCATAACAACATTCTTTCTAGAAAACCAAGGTCATCCTTTGTCTCTGCACCTCTGCACCTGACCGGAACTGGATGGGTGGAAGCTGCCAGCCTGGCAGTGGGAGATTGGACCACGGGATGGGCTTGTGGGTGTGGGGGGCAAGATCTTGAACTTTCAACTGGGTGGGGAAAACTGGGAAGCTTTCAGATTCGGGTTTCCCCAGATGTGCCAACACGGCTCTCTTCATAAATTGGGACTTTGAGCAATCCTTTGCCTCGGACTCTGATTTACTTTTGGATGCTATTTGGAACCCTGATAGATATTGCCAGATGCGAAGAAACAAACCCCCCACAGGTAGAGTTCAAACTAGCTACTTTATTGATGAATGGCTATTTATAGGAATCTTCCCAGACTGGCAGATTCGCCTGGGAAAGACCAGATAAGACTCAAAGACATTCAAGGAAGGGTCAGACTTCAGCAGTGTTGGTGGAAGTGTAATCTCCCCTCCCCCTTTGGTAGTTCCTGAATTAAGAATATTGCTTTTTGCTTACTTGTTTGTCTGGCCTTAATCCACGCTTATCTGGTTTTCTCCTTTTTGTGGATGCCTTGGTGTTCACAGAGGTTGCTTGTTTTCTTGTAGCTCTTTTCAGTTGGATCATCAAACATCTGCAAGTAAACAACCAAGGTCAGCGAGCACCAAAGAGCCCACAAGCCAGTCAAGGTTCAAGTGTTTGTTTGCAAACACTCAACAGACAGAATCTTGCCAGAGTAAACTTCTGCTACTCTCAGCCTAACAGGTGTATCCTGGAAGATTCTAGGGCAGGGACGGCTAATCTTTTTGTCCGTGTGTGGCGAAATTGTGTGGGTGCAACAACGCACATGCACGGGCCCACACCCATAATGTTATGAACTTAGCGCCCCTCCCCCCCGCACGTGCACAACCCCACCCCCCATCCCCGCACGTGCTGCCTCATGCATGCGTGCTCTGTTTTGGGCCTCCTGGAACCAAAAATGGGGCGTGGGGAGGGGGGGTTACACGCATGCATGAGGCAGCACGGGGGGGTTGTGCACGGGGGGGCGGCGCTAGGCTCATAACATTATGGATGTGGGCCCATGCATGTGCGTTGTTGCACGCATGCAATTTCACCACACACGGACAAAAAGATTAGCCGTCCCTACCCTAGAATCCCCCAGGATACATCTGTTAGGCTGAGAGTAGCAGACATTTACTCTGGCAAGATTCTGTCTGTTGAGTGTTTGCAACAGACACATGCACACGCAACCCTCCCCCCATGCATGCGCCTACATCTCACGCGTGCGCGGCAGAGACCTGAAAACCGGCTGGTCGGCGGGAGGCACACACACACATGCACAGTGGAGCTCAGCTGTGTGAGGGCTCACTTGCCCGCAGAAAGGGCCTCACGTGCCACCTGTGGGACGCGTGCCATAGATTCTCCATCACAGTTCTAGGGAGTGGCTATGTTCTGCCTCGGGTGTTGTAGGCTTGCTGGGGGCATGCAGTTAACTCCACGCTTAGGAATCTCACTCAGATCAAGTTTATTATCAGGCATTCTTAATAGCGAAACTTACAGATCAGTGTTAAGATTCTTCTGACTTTCCCCATGATCTGTCCCATCACGTGGTGTAAAAAGATGATGATTTTATCCCCATGCTGAGTGGAGATGTAGAACGCTACTATTCCGCTTCACAAAGGCATTTAAACTGCCTGGATATAAACTTTGCACGCGGGAACAATGCCCCAGTGTCCAATCAGAAACACAGGCGCGATCACATGTTATGGAACTACATTTCCCATAAGGCAGTCTCTGCCTACATTTCCCATGAGGCACTTTCTTAAAGGAGACGGTTCTTAATTCCTACACTAGCTATATCCTGCTGGGGCAGCACAGGATATCCTAATTCTCTTTTTTCCTCTTAACGATCAAATTTTGAGCTGTGCTACCTCTTGTCTCACGCCCCTCCTTGTGCTCGCTCAGGTCTGTGAAACTGACACTTCATTGTCACCTCCCCCCTCTCCCCCCCCCCCGGTCGTGGGAACAGCCTATTACGAAAACCTCCTTTCCTCCGTCTTCCCAAAGCTGTTCTTCTCTTCCGAGACCTCATTCCTGATTTGAACTGACCAGGTTAGCAGCAATACGAGTAGTCCTCGACTTACAACCATTCATTTAGTGACCGAAGTTACCACGGCACTGGGGAAAAAAATTCTTATGGTTGCTTTTCACACTTAACGATAGTCGCAATCCTTGTGGCCGTTTGTGTTATCAAGTTTTGAACACTCGGCAACTGGTTCACATTTATGACGGTGGGCTGCGTCCCGGAGTTACGTGATTCCCCTCTCGCGACCTTCTGGCAAGCAAAGACAAGTGGGAAGGCAGGTCCGCTTAACAACCGGGTCACCCACTTAACGGCTGCAGGGATTCGCTTAACAGCCGCGGCAAGGAATATTGTACAATGGGGCACAGCTCAAATCTCGCTTAGCAGCGGAAAGTTTAGGCTCAGTTGTGGTCATAAGTTGAGGACTGTTGTCCCTTCCCATCAAGGAGAGTTCTGGTCAGGGTAAGAAGCATTGGTTTCCATTATCTGGAAGACGGCAGGCTGGGAAATGTCTCTCCATAATGGTCTTGGTTATCCCGCACTGTTTTCCCTCCATCCAGGCTGCATCTGGCAATTCCCTCTTTGGTTATGAAGGTCCCCATCCACAGCGTATCTGTGACGAAGGAGAAAAGCCACATCTTGGTTGGTTTGGAGGACGGCAAGTTGATTGTGGTCGGTGCAGGGCAGCCTTCGGAGGTGAGTGTCACCCCCCCACTCTTCCCCCCACAGCTTAATTTCTCTAAGGGACAAGAATTGGGGGCCATAAGAGCACATGGCCATATGACATTAGGGTCGTACGGTCCTATGGTGGTGGACATAAGCAGAAGCAAAAAAAAAACACCTCTCCTTCCTTCCACCCTCCATCCCTCCCTTCCCCACTCCTTCCTTCCTTTTCCTTTCCTCTTCTCTCTTCTTCCTTCCCCTCTTTCCTTGCTCTCTTCCCATCTTCCCTTCTTTTTCCTTTGTCCTTACTCTTTCCAAATGTGGTTGGAGAAGATGACGCAGCAAACTCTGCTTTGGTCATCTTGTCAGGAAAATATAGCAAAGAAAATGTATATTTGATTATTCATGTATTAACCGCAGCTGGAATTGTATTTGCACAGAATTGGAAGGGTGAAGAGATTTCCCCCCCACCCCCCAGATGAAAAAGTGATTTTAAAAAATGTTAGAATGTGCAGAAACGAATAGATTAACACTTGCAATTAAAGGAAAGGAAGAATCTCATTATTATAATACACAGGAGTTATTCTATCCATGGTTAGAAAGTAAATGTGAAAATAATGTTTTATAAAGTTAAATAAATTAAGGAGAGAAATGTTATAATAATAGATTTGTGAAGTTTTAAGTACCAGTATTAAAAAAGTATGTGTATAGATAGATGGGTAGGTAGGTAGAGATAGAGATATATAGAATATACATATATATATATAATATAGATATAGATATATAGACAGAGATATAGATATAGAATATGGTGGTAAGCTTTAACTATTATGACACAAAAAAATTATGACACACTGTTTAATAAATGATGAAATGTTTTTATTAAAAGAAAAATTTTAAAAAAATTGGAGTGGGGGGGAAATTAGAGCACGTGACCAACTCCTGCTGCAGTGTGGAGTAAAAAAAACACGGGGAAATGTTGTTTAAATTTCTTATTGGTGTGGATTCTCCATCACTAGAGGTTTTCAAGAAGAAATGGACAGCCATTTGTCCAATATTGTATCCGTGTTTCCCCCAAAAATAAGCGTCTTATTTTCTCTTAGGTCCTAAAATAAACACTAGGGCTTATTTTAGGGAGGGGGTCTTATTTTTCCCACCATGTACGGGAGGCCCACTTCCTCCGCTTGCTCATGGCGGGGCAGGAGGCCGCGCAGTGCCGCCGCCACAAGGCGAGGCGCTAGAGCTACCCCACGGGCCCCACACCGGCTTGCCTCAGGGCCCCCACAGCCAGGCCATCCCACACTGACCCCCGCCTCAATTCACGGCCGCAGCACCAACACACCACTCGGCCCCTGCTTCTGTCGCGGCCACAAGCAGAAGAAGCCGGCTGGTGGCCATGTAGGCCCCCGCTGTACATGGCTGCTGGCGCCGAGGCAGGCGTCAGGGCGGGGACGGCCTGGCGGCAGGGGCCCTGAGGTAAGTCAGAGCAGGGCTCATGGACAATTCCCCACTAACCCGCCTCGCCTCATGGCTGCGGCAACCGGATGGAAGGAGTGGTCTGTTGGCTGCGCAGGCTGTTAAGTAGGGCTTATTTTGGGGATATTAGGTGCATGTGTAAAAAATGTGCTAGGTCTTATTTTTGGGGAAACGGGGGGGGGATACATAATCTCCCGCTTGAGCAGAGGTTTGGACTCAGAGGTGGGTTCCTACCAGTTCACACCAGTTCGGTAGAACCGGTTCGTCAAATCTACCGAACCGGTTTAGAAGATGTTCCACCAATGGACCCGGAAAGCAGGACACACCTACAGAAGAGGTTCTGAAATTTTATGAAACCTACCACTGACACACACACACACAGACAGACAGACAGACAGACTCACACAGAGAGAGAAAGAGAAAGAAAGGAAGGAAGAAAGAAAGAAGAAAGAAAGAAAGAAAGAAAGAAAGAAAGAAAGAAAGAAAGAAAGAAAGAAAGAAAGAAAGAAAAAGTGAGAGAGAGAGATGAAAGAAAAAAAGGAAAAAGGGACAGAGAGACAAAAGGAAGGAAAAAGAGAGAGAGAGAGAGAGAGAACACATGGGCAGCAAGCCACTCCCACCAGGTCACATGGCCGGCAAGCCACTCCCACAAAGGAGGCCACACCCAACAGAGCAGGTTCGAAAAAAATTTGAAACCCACCACTGA